GTAACGATGCCACATGAAATTATCATTATAGATAGCAGTTTCGTTTTATCCTGGCAGACGTCCCAGTAACGGGGTTCCTCTATTACACGCATGGAGGAACTCTTACTGGGTTATCAGTGGAAGGTACAGTAGTGCGTGCTTAACCTATGAAGGTCACCACGCACAGATGCGGCGTCAATAGTCCCTACATCCTCCTCTCTGGGGCTAATTATTATATTTCGAGAAAATCGTTGTGCACGTTAATTAAGTCTTGCAGAGCCTGGGGAATGGCAAGGCAATCGATCCAAGGAAGACTGGGCTAAACAAACGCTTAAGCACAAAGTAAAAATTAATGTGATACATACATTCTGAAAAGTGCAGCAGCAGCAAATATTTCACTGTTGGTAAGACAGTGTTATAACAACACAAGCTCAGGTAACAAACTGATCGTCAGTATTCTAACTTCTGGAGAGCTCCGTATGTTCCCGTTTTCTGTTCGCGCTTCAAACTTTTTATCGTCTTTACATTTCATTTACTGGCGTTGCGATGTATTATAATTGGGTAATATTTATTAACAAGTTAAAATCTAACCTAAATCGAGAAATTTGTCAAAAACCATACGAGAAAAATCGCCTCAGAATTTACGAGGACACGCATCATGATTAGCATATCACAGTATGCATACCAAAGTTCGTAGTACGAAGTGTGTTGAGAGTATCAGAAAAATAAAAGATAATGGGGGGAAAACCATGAATATTTTATTTATGTGGAGGTACTAAACCGATAAGGTTAATACAATACCTGGGAAATGAAAGGTACTCAAGTCTAATCCAAGAAAGTGGCACACAGCTTTATTTCCCCTGGATCAAGATCCCTTCACTGGCGTCCAGGCACCTCCCTCATGAACTCTCCCGGACACAACTGTATGAACATATTCCTACTATGTACGCACGAACTATTTATAAGCAACTAGATAAAACACTATACTTTTATTTAAATAAAAGAAATACTTATTTACAGAGGACATCCGGTGTACCCAAGTGTACACACATACACCAGCCACTAGTCTTTGATCAACAAATGTGGTGACTTCCGCTACTTCTACGACAATGAACTGAGAAAGACACTTGGGGTTAACCCAGAAAGGTCAGGACCCCAGGATAACCCAAGAAAGCCAAGAATTGCAGCTCATTTCCGCTGGGATCCTTCCGTTCTTTACTTGCTATGGGACCCACGACAGTTAGCTAAATCTTAATTATTTACTGCTAGGTGAAAGAGGGCAGCAAGTGTATATGCTTATTCTTCTCAACTCTCCTGGTAAGCAAACCCAGTTTTAACAGAGACATTTTTACATATACAAGTCACTCAGCTCACACACTGAGGTCCGGGGTTCGAATCTCCCGGTACGGCTGGAAAACATTAAGGACGTGTTTCCAAGAGCCACCTGCTGTCCTTGTCCCTGTTCATCCATCAGTATAAAATAGGTACCTGGGTGTTAGTCGACTGGTGTGGGTCGCATCCTGGGACAAAACTGACCTAATTTACCCGAAATCAGCATAAGCGGCTTTCTATATAGTAGTATGTCATAGATGTCAGCTAGGACTGTATACCTTCTACATGTACTTGTAGTAAATAAAGATATTATTATTGTGGTGCCCTAACGCCAGATTATTATTATAATCAAAAAGAAGCGCTAAGCCACAAGGACTATACAGCGCTGCAACCCTAACGCCAGAAAATGTGCCCAACGATCACTCATCCATGAACTCCCCAGTCCCTTCCGTGCTTAACCTAACGTAACGATGCTCACAATTCCAAGTGCTACGCCAATTCCCTTTAATTACTTCTCGTTTATAGCACTGCTGCTCTTTCAATCTTACTCAGTACTTAACCCAGATAAATCAATGTTAACGAACAACGCAATATATTCAGGAAGAACATACATAGCTCAAATTGCATGTCACTATGGGAGAAATTTAGGACACGGCAGACCAAGAGCTGTAGTTATAGGAGGAGTTACTTACACTTGTAGAATGGATGGGTACAGTAGGTAACCACAAGGTATGGAAGACTGTATGGAGGGGTGGAGGAGCAACAGTAGAGGTGCACACACGTCCTCCACTTAGCCTCTCCTGCTGTCGTCTGCACATGTTCCCTCAACCTTATACTATTATTGTTTTCTTTTTTTTAATATTCTTGTTTGTCTTAACACCGTACACTTTTCCCTACTTATAAATAAACTGCTTTAGATTCTAAATAGGTTACCAAACAATAAAAAACATATAGGTATTTAATTTAAGGGAAAATAAAAGCTGAAGGTTGTAACAGAAAACGAAATGAGACAAATTCAAGATAAACTGAAGTATTATCAGTTCCACCAACCATGCTAAACAAATATTGATTTTTAGAATCCTAAATTATTATATTCATGAAGTAGTAGTAAGCCTGTAAGGTTCCTACATCACTTATTGAGACCCTAAACCCCTCAAGGGAGGTTCCTTGACGCTGGTGAGTGGTTCTTGATCCAGGGGATTATATCTGTGCTCCAGTTTCCTGAATTGAGCCTGAATACCTTCCATCCCCCCACATGCGCTGTATAATCGTACGGGTTTAGCGCTTTCCCATGATTATTATATTATACTGAGACCCTAAAATAAGTATTTCGTAAAAAATGTAAAGATAACCAAGTGTGTTTGCATAGTGTTATAATCTGCTCTTAAGACTATTCAGAGCATTAACCCTAAAAGGTTAGTAACCCAGGATAACCCCGAAGAGCTATCAGTATGGCTTTTTGGGTTATCCTAGGTAATTTACACTATGTATGATGATTGTACTTATGTATACCTGTGCCTAAATAAACTTACATTTAGATCATTTGTTCCTTTTTCCCAGGATGGGACTCACAACAGTTGGCTAACACCGTGGTACCTATTTACTGTTAGGTAAATATAGTAGGTGTTAACTTGCCCATACTTCAAGCCCCCATGCAGTATTGAACTCGGAGCCTGGGGTTGAGTAGGATGCACTGTCAGTCAGCTACAAAGTACTTTGCAAATCATGCAGAATGGTTTTTCCTTCCAATTCCCTCATACAACTTACCAGCCTCTTCTGGTTGATTTCAATAGGGTAGTGAGGATATTATCAAGAACTCCACTGATAGCAATGTGAAATATCTGAAACCTGTTTTCATACAATTCAGTCAATATAGCAAATCACTGTGTGTTAAGAAATTATAGATTATTATATATAGGGGGAAGTGCTAAACCTGTAAGGGTTGTATAGGGAAGGAAAGTACAGGTGTAATTCATTGGATCAAGATCCTCTCACCAGCGTCAAGGAACATGCCTTGAGGGTAAGAGATCGTAATCTCCATTAAAGGTTGGACCATCAGAGGTGTTGAAGAATATGAAGTATCCACAACAATATGAATGTACATTTATGTATTATTATTTTAATTTCATGTAAAATAAATAACTAATTGTGTTTCAGTCACTGTGCAATCCAAGGAAGGTATCCATGTACAGCAAGCCCAACCCCCTTTACCTCAGTGCATGCAAAAGGAACAGCACATGACAATCATAAAATTCCATTGCAGCAAAATGTAAAATTATATATACATGAGTGTATATGTGTATGTATGTATGCCTGTACGCTTTTGCATGTATGCATAGATATGTACGTGTATAGACACGTGCATAATTGTGCATGAATATGCATGCATGTATATTATTCTTGGTATATGTGTGCATATGTATGGATGTATTAATGCAGAGGCACATACTATAAACTTTGGCACAGGTTATAAAGAGCCTGAGAGGACTGGAAGGCAAGCAGGCTTGATCCAAGGAAAGGTATGGTAAGTCCAATTCCTTGGATCAAGAGGTCATAACTGGTACTGAGCCATCTCCCTTAAGATAATTACTACACACATACATAAGCAAGAGACATTATGCTATTAAAATTCGTTTTTGAAAAAATCAGATACAGTCTGCTCTCTTATATGGTGAAAAAATACATCCAAAACCGAATGGTGAATGGAAAAGCCTTCATAGTATGCGCTCTTCAATTTTTGATGTACAGTATTTCAAAATTCTTTAGAAGTGCTAGAATTATGAGTATTGTACAATGAACTTTTACTGTTGTCAATGACATGCATACTCATTAGTTATTAATATATACATGGGGAAGTGCAAAACCTGTAAGGGTCATACAATGTTTGGTTAATGGGAGGGATGCAGATCATCACATTGAATCCAAGGAAAGGGAGGGTAATATCAGTTCTTAAGATCAAGAACCCTTCTCCAGCATCAAGGCATAATCCCTTGAAGAGACATTTCTTATACACAAACGGTACTCTAGACGTCCAAAGGGCAATCTCCAGTAGTACTTCCAACATTAGAGATCCTGCCGGATAGCCACCTGATGTCTTACCAGAGGGTTACCTGACATCTCCCACATGATCCAATTTCTATCAGGGGAGTAGCCTAACCATGACAGCACTACCAATGGATGCTACATCAGAGCAGGACCAATAGCAATTCCTTTTCCTTGTCTAAGAGCTGGATTTCATAAAAAGAAGAACTAACATCACTAATAAAACCAGAGAGGGGAGGGAGGGATGGGGGTATTTAGATTTGCTTTGAGGAAGGGGAAAAGATCAGTTCCTCAGATAGGCTCTCTTCACTGAGGATGATGTGAAAGAAATACAGTGGACCCCCGCATAACGATTACCTCCGAATGCGACAAATTATGTAAGTGTATTTATGTAAGTGCGTTTGTACGTATATGTTTGGGGGTCTGAAATGGACTAATCTACTTCACAATATTTCTTAGGGGAACAAATTCGGTCAGTACTGGCACCTGAACATACTTCTGGAGTGAAAAAATATCATTAACCGGGGGTCCACTGTACTAGAAACTGGAGGAATCACAATATTAAAATGCAAGCATAATTGTAATTAAACCCTAGTAAACATTAATGAAAGAAATAATGAATTCAAACTTCGTATGTGACTGAAAGATTTTGAGTAGATTTAGATTTATTAAATATAATAAAGTTGATATACAATAATGTGTTTGCTGTAAAAAATGAGATTCTTATACACATCTCTGGACGGAAACTTTAATCTCAAGTTATAAAATTATATTATTACTTAATAACATACAGGTACACATACATGCTACACTTGATCATCTCATTTCTAAAAGGTAATGTACAATTATACTATCATGTACTAAGTAAAGTGGTACCTCGGGATACGAACAGCTCAAAACTCAAACAATTATGTAAGTGTATTTATGTAAGTGCTTTTGTAAGTATTTTTGGGAGTCTGAAACAGATTAATCTAATTTACATTATTCCTTATGGGAACAAATTCGTTCGGTATCAGCACCCAAACAGCCTTCTGGAACGAAATAAATTCGTATCCCGAGGTACCACTGTAATTAAATTTTAAATAAAAGCAATTAATACAAATGAGCAAAAGATTCATATATAAAATAGTTTTTCTCATTTCTCTCTCAAAACTCGTTTTTCGTAACTGATCATATACTGTACATAAGTCTTGGATAGCCAACTGACAAAGGGAATGTATAAAAACTAGCAGAGCCAATATTATGAATGTATCAAAATGTAAATTGTGAGGGGGAAGGAAGCATATGAATAGCATTCTTAAACTTGTTTTTAAGACATCAGATTTTTATTATTTAAGACACACTTTGGTAGGCCCAGAGTGAACATAAGCAGTGCCATCTATAAAGCATGTTTATATGGTAAGGCCTTGAGTTAACAGATCCTGATTTACTGAATTTTGGATTTAACAGACAAGTCTGTTAAGTCCAGGATTGTGCATTAATTTTATGGTCAACTGGGTAAATTCATTTTGGATTTAATGGACAAAGCCCATTAAATCAGAACTGCCCATTATTTTTATGGAGAATTCCATTAAATACAGAATTATCTGTTTCTGTTGCTGTCTTCTGGGTAAATAACAAAAAAAGGCACAATACCGTGACTGGAACGATACACAAATAACCCGCACATAAAAGAGAGAAGCTTACGACGACGTTTCGGTCCGACTTGGACCATTGACAAAGTCACACTAACCAGAGGGGGAGCAGGATGGCTATATATAGGCAGGAAGAGGTGGTGGTGGTAGTAGTAGTAGTAGTAGTAGTAGTACAAGAATTGTATATAATACCGACAAGATGAAATTAAGACACATGCACAACACCCGGGCATCCCCATCGTAGACGCTTCACCATCCAGCCAGCCACTGGATGGCGAAACGTCCACAACAAAGACAACCAGACGCCGCACATGTGTCTTAATTTCATCAGTAGTTGTAGTAGTAGTGGTAGAAGAAGAAGAGGTAGTAGTAGTGGTAGTGGTAGAAGTGGGAAATAAGGAAGACGAGCCAGTCAAATACATAGGAAGGAGAGCACTGCAAGAGAGCTAGATGCCCACAGAGGGAGAGCAAGCGCACAGAGGTGCGTGAAAGGGGAAGTGGTGAAATAAATGAAGAAGGAACAGAAACACGAGACAGGAGAGAGAAAGACAACAGAGGAGAAAAGGAAAGAGGAAAGGGGAAGAGGAAGAAGAAAAAAGAAAAAAGAAAAAAGAAAAAAATGAGGATTCAGGTTAAGTCACGGGGGTTCTGAAGTTTGGAGCATTTTACAATATAGTGGGAGAGGAAGGCATCTACAGAGACGAAGCCAGGGCTAAGGTTCATACAAGGAAAGTTGTGTATTAGAGAGGATTAATTAGAAATTAAGACACATGTGCGGCGTCTGGTTGTCTTTGTTGTGGACGTTTCGCCATCCAGTGGCTGGCTGGATGGCGAAGCGTCTACGATGGGGATGCCCGGGTGTTGTGCATGTGTCTTAATTTCATCTTGTCGGTATTATATACAATTCTTGCACTACTACTACTACCACCACCTCTTCCTGCCTATATATAGCCGTCCTGCTCCCCCTCTGGTTAGTGTGACTTTGTCAATGGTCCAAGTCGGACCGAAACGTCGTCGTAAGCTTCTCTCTTCTGGGTAAATTTATCTGTTTGAATTTCACACTTTGTACATTAAGTTCAAAAATAAATTTATGGATTGAATTTTCGGATTTAACAGACTTAAAACATTAAATCCGAAAATTGTATGTTACTGCTATGATCATAGAAAAATATTCTCATACTCTGGATTTAATGAACAATCAGCTTTAATAAACACTGCCTCCCCTCTATTAATCTCTTAAAATGAGAGTTCACTGAATTATATGCATTATTTTTATTTTTTGTTACACCACAGCTGTCCAAAAACAATTTTCTTTGATCTTAACTTTACTTTTCCTGGAGAAAAAGCAGGAATTCCAATTTTATAGGCAAGAGGAAAGGGGGTGGGGGTGAAAATGTGAAGTCATTGGGACACCTCTAAATGAATCCCAACATTTTTTAAACCTGGCAAAGAATATTAATTCTTTAACTGGAACAAGTGGGCAAGACAATAAAATTTCAAATTTTCATTTCTGTGAACCTCCTTAGTATATGCACATCATTATTATTACAATCAAAACTAAGCACTATACCCACAAGGGGTCATACATACAATATTTGAGTTTACAAGAGAAAAACAATAGCTCTTTGATTCTCTTCAACTTTCTGAAATTACCTTTATCATGCTTACATTTAAACCCCTATATAATTTTTTCTAGTGTGATTGCCTAGCTTCTATTCTTTTACTGATCATGTGTTGAAGAAATTATTCCTGGCTGGCATCATTGTGACAATGTTGAGCATGCATTTTCAATCTCCCTTGTTTTGGATCCTAGTTTCCAGATGCCTTTCCAGAAGCACACAGTTGTCACAGTCAGTGATGACCCAGCAAATCACAACCACCCCATACTCTTTTTTAAAGAGTTCAGAACTTAGGCACTGCATTTCCCAACTGCAAAACAATCTTATTTGTAAACTATAGTTATACAGACTTGTACTCACTACTTTATTAGTCAACTACAGTAAGTCATTAAGAAATAAAATCCTTATAACATTAATTTAAAATTAATGTTATTTCAACTAATATATTCTCACATTTAAGAAAAGAAATTATGCAGCCACTGGCACAGAAAATATCTCAATAATAAAATACGTAGTTTAGCTTGTCAAACGTATGTACAAGCAGGTCCCACTTTACAGCGCTTCACTTTACGGTGTTTTGCTAATTACAGCAGTTTTCAATTATACCCATTCTTCATTTATTCAGACTTCCTACAATAAATATATTCACCACTCATTATTAGCTAAGGATAAAATTATTTTAGGGTAAGTAATGTGTGTACTTTATATACATTTTTTAGGCCTAGCTATATTACTCACCTAATATATGATAGTGTAAACATGCTATCAGGCTTTTGTATGCATATAAAAGTGAAAAAAGGCTACAATTCATTTTACAGGAATTTTTGCTTTACAACAGTAGCCCAGTACCTAACCTGCTGTATAAGCAGGGCCCTCCTGTACTGTAATTGGTTACAACAAAATACTTAAATATACACGAAGACAAAGTTTCCCATAATCATAGAAATGCCGGAATGTACTGGACTTCAAGTATTCCAGAAAATGAAGGCACCAGGATTGGTTTATTCCCTTGCTAGACATCCCATGCATGTCACCACTGAGGCACAAGGGATTGAAGGGAAACTGACACGAATTTCTTAAGATCACTGTAAGGCAGTTATGTTCTGGTGTAATTTGTGCTCAAAACTCACATTACACCAAGTTAATCCAACTATGCTTTCAATATAAAGTAGGTTAAGACTCTATTTACAGTGTGCCATGAGGAAATACTCTATGAGAAGGCATTTCCCAATATGTATTTATGAATAAAGTTCCTTGTCTCATTGCTTAATTGGTTATCTGCAAAAACCTTCAAAAAGGAGATCAAAGGAGAAAATTCTTGGGAGTGATTTTTAGACAGGTACTCTAAGGGGTGTTTTGTCATAGAGAAATTGCACAGAAGTACATGGAACAACACAGTATGATTGTAGGTGTGGCACTCTTTACACAAACTTATCAAATATGTTCACATAAAAAACTGATAATGGTGATGGTCCCTGCTCTCCTACACATACTTCTGTACTGAATTATAAGACTTCTCTTTTAATCTTTTAATTGATATTTGTGTTTTCTTAAGTGAAATCTTTCTTTCATAAATTATTATTTCTCAGAATTCTTGTTTTCTTATCACTGAGAAGCTATCACATGCTTCCTCTTATTCTAATTTTGCATTTTTTTTTTCAACAAACTGACTGTATTTAGCATTTACATACTATCAGTAAATAAGCTCAACTTAAGGTATCTTTCTTATTATTTAAGAATTATAATAATTTAAACTGCATTTCAGGGATCATCAAGCCAACTAGTCAATATTTTCTGCAAGACGTGGTTCAAATTAAGACCACCTGGTTGTGAACAGTGAATGGATATCAGTATTTTGTTTATATTAAATTTATTAGGGTATTTTCTTGGTGTTTATGAAAGTTTAATTGTTAATTCTGTTTGATATTAAACTATATTTGAAGGTGAAAAACAGGAAAAAACACTGCCTTAATGACAGTGACAGTTGACAGGCCATAAACCTTACATAACCTTAAATTTATAGCATGAGCTTTGAGAATGCATTTTACAAATATAAATTATACAAATTTAAAGGACACCAACACAATTTATGGCAGAAATATTGTGAATGTGAGAAACATTGTTACACAAAAATTAGTAACATGAAGAAGAGCAAAATACAATATATTTAAAAAATATATAATTATAAGCATCAGGTAAATAGATCACAATAATGTGGTCTATTTACCTAAAAATGGTGTGTTGTACATGTTAAGTGTCATCAGGACGGATCAGAAAACCAGTTTCATGTGGAATGTCCACTGTTCTCAGAGATTCATGTAGTACCACTGCAGATCTTCAATAGCTCAAGGACACATGAAGCACAGATAAATTCCAGTGGTTACATACAAGGGTCTACACCAAGCAGGTGCTATTGAAGTATCATACAACAGCACATACCATGCACTTGGTATTAAAGTATTATACACTGTGCAGCATTTTACATGAAAGGCTTATGGAGGGAGTATGTATTGAAGTTAGAATCTGGAGACATCATCAGTACAGCTGCTCAATGTTCTGTGCCTGAGCTGCTTTAATAATGTCATACTGGCTCTTGACACATCTGTGCATGTATATCTGAAAATGTTACAAAATATGTAAAAGCAAAGGTAACATTAGAAATATTTACAAAATATAATTATATTTATAAAACTTTTTTCCTCCATAAGGCATGTGTGTCGTAAGAGCCAACTAAAATGCTGGGAGCAAGGGGCTAGTAACCCCTTCTCCTGCATAAATTACTAAATTTAAAGAGAAAAAGTTTTGTTTCTCTTTTTGGGTCACCCTGCCTCAGTGGGATATGGCCAATTCATTGAAAAAAAAATATGAGACTTAAAATATAACAGTTTTGTTTCTATTACATTTTTTTTATATTACATATGCAACATTTCAGTTATTAGAGGAAAACATAAAAAAACTAATTGTAGGTAGCAGGTTGGTAGACAGCAACCGTCCACGGAGGTACTACCGTCCTGCCAAGTGAGTGTAAAATGGAAACCTGTAATTGTTTTACATGATGGTAGGATTGCTGGTGTCTTTTTTCTGTCTCATAAACATGCAAGATTTCAGGTACGTCTTGCTACTTCTACTTACACTTAGGTCACACTACACATACATGTACAAGCATATATATACACACCCCTCTGGGTTTTCTGTATTTTCTTTCTTGTTTATTTCCTCTTATCTCCATGGGGAAGCGGAACAGAATTCTTCCTCCGTAAGCCATGCGTGTTGCCGGGAGCAAGGGGCTAGTAACTCCTTCTCCTGTATAGATTACTAAATTTAAAAAGAGAAACTCTTGTTTTTTCTTTTTGGGCCACCCTGCCTTGGTGGGATACGGTCGGTTTGTTGAAAAAAAAAAAAATTACAAGATACAGGAAAATAAATGAAGATGGTTTTTTAACACAATTACCAGGGAAAACAAGAGGCCACAATTATAAACTGAGAAAATGGACATACAGAAAGGATACAAGAAAGTTTTTTTTCACACACAGAGGAACAAGATGAAGGACTGGAATTAAAGAGGATGTAGTGTTACAACTGACTGAAACTTATAAATTTATTTGATAAATTTAAAAACAGACATGACACCACACACATGGCACTGGTCCTCTTACTTAAAACAGGCCATCAAAATAATGGTCCTTTTAACTGTTTTTCAACTTTCTGACTTTTCCTTCATATGCCCTGATGGAATATATCAAAAATATCCAGTCTTCAACTGCATCTCATCCAACTGCATTTGTTTTGATAATCGAGTCCCTCTAGCTAATTATATTCATCCAAACTACTGAACTAGAGGCTTAATGTGTCAGTAAGTACTATACTGCTGAATAACCCAAATAAGAAATACCACACAGTTCTTAGTATTGCATGAAGCAGAAAATTTAATTATACAATGCAATAAGCAAGATGTTCTTAGTGTGTAGATATGTAAGGAGTACATTAAGAAAACTGTTGTTGGTAGCTTAAAAGTCTAAAAGATATACTGTACAATATTTTAAGCTTTATTCTTCCAAGAAATCCATACCCAAGCTGCTGAATGTTCAGTTAGATACAATGATCAAGTGTACATTACAAAATTAAGATTTTATTTTCACATATATTTTAAAAGTGAAAATAATATCTTAATACTGTTCTGTATGTTACGTCAGGTTTTTTTTTTTCAACAAGTCAGCTGTCTCCCACCTAGGCAGGGTGACCCAAAAAGAAAGAAAATCCCAAAAACGAAAATACTTTCATCATCATTCAACACTTTCACCTCACTCAACAGTTTAGAAGCATATATAAAGATACAACATAAAAAGTGACCTGAAATAATATACAGTGGTCCCCCGCTTTTCGTAGTTCCCGGCAATCGTAAAATTCGATAATCATAGAGGTATTTTCGTATAAACATGGACTCGCTTTTCATAGGTTGACTCGCAAGTCGTAGTTCGTCCGGGACGCGTACCCACGGCGTGAGCCAGGGCGGCAGCCAGTCTGGCATTGTTTACCAGTGAGTGAAGGTCCCCTCACGTGCTCCAGCGAAATATTTCATAATATTCCATTTATTTTAGTGCTTGCAAGTACTAAATAAGCTACCATGGCTCCAAAGAAAGCTCCTAGTGCCAAGCCTGTGGTAAAGAAGGTGAGAAATACGATTGAATTTAAGAAAACCATCATTGAACAATATGAAAGTGGTACAAGTGTGGCCGAACTGTTCAGGATGTATAAGAAACCCTACACAACCTTATGTTCCATAGTGGCCAAGAAAAATTAAATAAAGGATGCTGTTGTTGCAAAGGGAGTAACTATGCTGACAAAAATGAGATCACCAGTACTCGAAGAGGTTGGATAAATGAGAAACAATTAGCAGGAAATACTCTTATGACTTCGTTTATTTGTGAAAAGGCTAGGCAGTTGCATGAAGATTTGGTAAAGAAATTGCCTGCAAATAGTGGTGAAGTGAGTGAATTTAAGGCCAGCAAAGGCTGGTTTGAGAGATTAAAGAACCGTACTGGCATACACAGTGTGGTAAGGCATGGTGAGGCTGCCAGTTCGGACCACAAGGTGGCTGAAAAATATGTGCATGAATTCCAGAAGTACATAGAGGCTGAAGGACTGAAACCTGAACAAGTGTTCAATTGTAACGAAACAGGCCTCTTTTGAAAGAAAATGCCAAAGAGGACCTTCATTACACAAGAGGAAAAGGCAATGCCAGGACACAAGCCTATGAAAGACAGGCTGACGCTAATGTTCTGTGCTAATGCTTGTGGGGATTTCAAAGTGAAGCCATTACTAGTGTACCATTCTGAAAATCCCAGAGTGTTCAGGAAAAACAATGTTATGAAGAGTAAATTGTGTGTGTTTTGGAAATCTAATAGTAAGGCATGGGTCACGAGGGAAATTTTCGTCGAGTGGTTCAATGAAGTGTTTGGCCCTAGTGTGAAGGAGTATCTCCTGGAAAAGAAATTGGATCTCAAGTGCCTGCTAGTAATGGACAATGCACCTGCTCATCCTCCAAACTTGGATGACCTAATTTTCGAGGAGTTTGGGTTCATCACAGTAAAGTTCTTGCCCCCGAATACCACTCCTCTCCTCCAACCCATGGACCAGCAGGTTATTGCAAACTTAAAAAAACTCTACACAAAAGCAATGTTTCACAGGTGCTTGACTGTGACCACAGACACTCACTTGACCCTAAGGGAATTTTGGAGAGAACACTTCAGCATCTTCCACTGCATAACCCTTATAGGTATGGCATGGGAGGGAGTGACTACCAGGACTGAACTCTGCCTGGAGAAAATTGTGGCCAGATTGTGTCGACAAGAGGGATTTTGAAGAATTTGGGACTGACCCTAATGAGCCTATGTCTGTTGTAAAATCAAATTGTGGCACTGGGAGTTCCATGGGGTTGGATGTGATTTGGAGGATGTGGAAGAATTGGTGGAAGACCACAATGAAGAGCTCACCACTGAGGAGCTGCAAGAGCTTCAGCAGGAAGAGCAACACATCGCAGCTCAGAATCTTGCTGCAGAGGAGGAGGAAGAGAGATGGAAGAAGGTGCCTTCTTCAGAAATTAAAGAGATTTTTACTATGTGGGGTAAGATGGAAAGCTTTATGGAGAAACATCACCCTAACAAGGTTGTTGCAAGCCAGGTTGACAACATGTACAGTGACAAAGTCTTGGGCCATTTTAGGGGTTGACAACATGTACAGTGACAAAGTCTTGGGCCATTTTAGGGAAGTGTTAAAGAGATGCCAGAAACAGAGCTCTCTCTCCACAGTTATTTTGTGAGACAGGACTCCAGTGACTCTCAAGGTGGTCCTAGTGGCATTAAGAAACAGAGAAGAGAAGCAACCCCAGAAAAGCAAATGGTACCTGAGGTGTTGATGGAAGGGGATTCCCTTTCCAAACTATAAACAATCCACTCTCTCTCCTCCTCCAGTCTCCCATACACTAAGAAGAATCTCCAATAAAGGTAAGTGTTATGCTGTTAATGTTTCATTCATCATTTCCCATTGTATTGTTTATGTACTACATGCATATTTCATGTTAAAAAATTTTTTGTTTTAATACTTCTGGGTGTCAGGAACGGATTAATTGTATTTACATTATTTCTTATGGGGAAAATTTATTCGTAAATCGTAAATTTTGTTTATAGTAACGGCTCCAGGAACGGATTAATTATGAACAACGAGGGACCACTGTAATAAACTACATATAGAATATAATATCAGGGCCCCAATTATATATATACCATCCTATTACACATCCCTCGAAACTGCCAATATCCCAAACCCCTCCTTTAAAGTGCAGGCATTGTACTTCCCATTTCCAGAACTCAAGTCCGGCTATATAAAAATAACCGGTTTACTTAAGTACAGTATGTACTGATATTAACAAAACTACAGTAATTGCAGAATATGGTATTTAGGTAAAAAGTTTGGTATTATTTTGAAGTACACTACAGTATATACACTGCTGGTTCACCATTTTGTACACTTCACCTATATGAACAACCTTCCAACCCACTTGTTTTTATTGCCTGACCTACTCCAGTACCCCCCAACCAATTCTCATTATACTATGTACAGTGCATAAACTTTTTTTATGTGATGATCAATATCAATTGCTTAATGCTGTCTATTTTTTCTCAAAAGCTATTTTCTTTGTTTTAAATTTGGTTAAGTTAATTTAGGTTAAGTTATTTAAACCTATAAAAAGTACATTTAGTACAAATAAGCCAATTACAGATGAATAGCGGGCATGATTGTGTGATGCCAGTATTTGAAGCTTATTTGTCAAAGTGGTCATGAGATTAGAGGAAGAAAAAGAGATAACTTGTAACTCACATGGGCAGCAGCAAACAGCAGGTAGAGACAGGTCCACAACACTGACAACAGCTGAAATACAGACTTGAAGTCACTCACTGCAACACACTGGAAACTTAAATAAGTTATAGGACAAGTTAAATACTTAAGACACTGAAGAATTTTGACATCATCATAATGTATCTATAGACTAGTACAATATACAGAAAAAACAAGGTGATGAGAGTAACAAAGTCTACACAATGAAACCTGGATACCAAACTGGAGGGTGGAAGTATGTTAGAAGTCTATGAAAGACTAGGTAAATCATAGAATAGATGAGGAAAACAAGGTAGGTGGTGTACTGAAGCATCTGAAAAAATAAAGTTTATCTAAGGAGGCAAAATGGGGAATGTACCAGGGTATAGTGGTATCAACACTTTTGTATTGGTGTGAGGCATGGGCTAAAGCCCATACCTCACACCTACAGGAGACAGCAGGAATGTAATGTTTGAGAGCAATGTGTTTTGTGATTATGCAGGGAATCTGGAGAGTGGAGATTAGATGTTGTGAGGTCACCAAAGTGTAAGTCCAAGGGCTGAGTATGGGTTAGGTTAGGTTAGGTATTGGGCATTTAGAGGATGGAACAGAATAGGTTGACTAAGCAGGTATGTAAATCTGAGATGGGAGGAGGGGGGTGATGGGATCATCCCAAGAAGGGCTGGAGAGAGGGTAAAGGTTTTGAGTGCTAGGGAGTTTGAACATGTTACAGGCTATGTGAGCATATTAGACAGGAATAAGTGGTTTTCATGGCTGGACATGCTACTGGAGTATGAGCATTTATGAAGGGATTCAAGGAAACAGGTTATCCAGACTTGAACCCTTGAGGTAATAAGTACCTCAAGGGTTCAAGGGGTGAGGACATTCCAGTTCGGTACCTCCTTACAGACTGCCAAGCTCAAATTTAAATATGAGAAATCCTTAAGGATATAACACATGTCAATTAATTAACCCTTAAACTGTCCAAACGTAGATCTACGTTTTTTCAACATTTGAAAGTATGTAAAAAAACGTAATCTTTTTTTTTTTTTACATTTGAAAACGTGTAAAAAAAAATTTGATCTTTTTTTTTTTGTTATACGTATTTGAAAATATGTAAAAAACCTTAGATCTACTTTTGGAGCACTACGCATGTGAACGTAAATCTGTTTGGACAGTTTAAGGATTAATAGTAAGAGGCATGGCCTGTGAACTAGAGCTCAGTACTTACAAACACAAATGAATATACTGAAGTTAGGAGTACATACATATAAACATTAAACAAAGATGACTCACATAGTGGTAATAAGATGCTTGAAGCCAGAGAGCGAAGGCGATGATCATGAGGATATAAAGGAGATTCTGTGTAAGCCAGGGCAGAATGAGACCTCGAAGCTCTATGCTCACCCCCTTAATCATCAAGATGGAGAACACGATGTATACCAGGTAGAAGACAATCATGAACCCACCAGCTCCTTTCATGGCTGTGGCAAAGAGCAGACAGATTAATTAATTAATCAAATATGTTGATGTGGATGCAGAGTTGTATGTTGATGGTTGCACTAGAGTACTGTACTCAAGCATTCTGTAATGCTTTTCTCATACAAGTATACCTCCCTAATATGGTGGATTAGGTTCCAGACTGCTGCCAAAAAGTGAGTATCGCCTTAAATGAATCACACTTTTTTTTTTCACTTGTCAGTGCATATAAAAGCCTAAAAAAATATTTGCGTTATCATTTGTTAAGTGTGCAATAGCACTAGGCCTTAAAAAAAACGTAAAATTAAAACAAATAAATAATTTTTTAAATTTCCAAAACCCATCTTAAGGGCAAGGCAAGGACAAAAAATAATAGTATTAACGAATATAATTGAAAAGCACCACATTAGTGAAGTGCTCTAAAGCGAGTGCCATATTAATGAGGTATGCTTGTACGTATATTTACCCTGTAGTAGTTCTTTATATGGGTGCCCAGAAAACATTTTAAAGTCACTGGCACTTTTTAAAATCTTCAAGGCTCACCTTCTTCTCTCACATAGTTTTATAGTATGGCAAGAGTTTTGTGCATCATTAATTGAGCACTATCATATTTTATGGCATTGAAGACACTTTTTTTTTTTTTCCCAAAGTAAGTCTTGGAAATTTACCCAGCATCTTGGAGGCCGAAATACCGTTTATCTTTTTTTTTTTTTTTTTTTAAATTTAGCCAAATCAGAATTGGGAGACATCCTCGACACCAGGGCGTCTTGTTAGCAGGAAAATACATTCAGTAATTTTTCTATCTTATTTAGTTAAAGTGACTCTTTTGACATTCTTTTGAGCTGATAATAATCTATATTCATTAATGCATGTACTTTTTATTTTTTATCATTTCTAACTGTATAAATGGTGGCCTCATCCACACAAAACTCACATGCAGGTTCCATCACACATGAACTAAACTTTTCTAACACTGTCATTTTCTTTAACATGGTCATAGATTCACATTTATTCTTCTTAATACCTCCAACACTGCTAGTATTTCCCTTGGGTTCCATGTTTAATATCCAGAAATATGACAGTGATGAAAACATCCAAAATAGCTTGATAAAGAGTGTAAGTGAGGCACAAGAACCTTTCAGAATGCAACTGTAGGAAGTATCTGTTGTCAGTGGAAGGAAAGTTATGCACTTCATTGTGTAGTACCCAAATTTTGCATGTAACATTGCAATGGCATGCGGTGTCAGTGTTTTGCATTAGCTGTTTCTTGAATGCAAGACATCTATTGGATGAATAACTGTAAATGTTTCCCTTCTGTGTCACCTTACCTTGGTGGGAGATGGGTGGTGTGGATAAAAAAAATAACTGTAGTGGTTCTCATTTATAGTCACAGTCAAGTATTTTATGCAAGATTCCATGAAGATCTGTACTAGAATTGACAAATAATGTTTCTAATTTATATGAGATTTCTCAAAAGAAATATTAAGCTATATGAACTAGTGTTTAGATCATGTAAAACTCATTCTGTATGTAAAATCATTTACAAATGTAAACCCCTGCAGAAGACTTGAAAAATATTAAGCAAATGTTTAGACATGGATAATGCCATGTAATGGAAATTGAGAAAAGTGATAAGCAAAATGAATACAGACTATAGTATGTGATTAAATACTTAGTCTCTGAAATAAGAGGATCTAGAAGAAATTTTAAACAAAAAGATTGTTAACTGAAAATCATACAGATGCAATAAATTTTTTAGGAACTCATATATTACCCTGACAACTTTTTAAAATAGCCTTCCAATATAAAGATGACGAAAGGGCATGTCAAACAAAAACTGGAATATGCAGTGGGAACATGGTATTCACACCTAAGAAAATGGACAGAACAAAGTCCAGACAGGTTGTAAAAATGGCCTAAAGAGCCAAGAAATATAAGCTACAAAGAAATACAGAAAGCTCTAAATACCCTCATTGTGATAAGAAAAAGTCACACTTGTAAATTGAGAGAAAAGTACTGTAATGCCAAAAAATAATGGCACTGTACTAGCAAATTTTTATTCACAACTACAGTGGAAGAGAATGCTTATATGTTACAAATTTTAGATGTTTAAAAACCATTATAAAACAAACTAAACATTAATACAAAACAATAAAAAATAAAGTACTGAACACTGTATCCAGTAAGAACATAATAAAATACATAAAATACAGTAGTATACTGTACAATAAGTATTATATATACAAATTATTTTATGGACCATGGACAGGACTTACTTGTATCCACATCAGTCTCAAACAAGGGCAGGAAGAACTGGGAAGAATCCCCACCATCCAGACAGTAGCAGATGTAGATGATGGAGAAGACACTGAAGAAGATGGTAGTGGCTGCACATGCCTTACTGGCCGACTTAAGATTATCATAGTAGTACCACGGTGACCAGCACTCCTTCATGGTCATGATGGCAATGATAGTCGACAATGACAGTAGGAGTTGTAGTAAAGGACAGTGACAGTAGTGGTGGTATCAGATGATGATCTTCAAGGCCTATGTTGAGATGATGATGAAGTAAGAGTGAAGATCTACAGCTAACTTAGACAGCACTGACGGTGACGGTCTGTAATTGAAGCATTTATATTATTATTAAAATTCAAAGGCTGACTTAATTGGGTTAACCTAGGTTAAATTCTATGTCCTACATAACAGCATAATTTTGGTCTAGGTTAAATCAGAATAGGTTATACATATTCGGTTTGGTTAGTGTAGTTTTACTTAATTTACACTTGGGAGAACTCTTCGCTGGTAAGAATATAGAAAAATATTAGTCATCTCCTGACCAACCAGTGACTTCGTAATGTAGGTGAGATCACTAGCAATCCACTTAGTAAGAATTAGACAAGAGTGCAACATCTGGGTATCTTCATTGTTTTATTGCAACTTCTACAATAAAGATACCCAGATGTTGCACATTTAATTCTTAATCTTGACAGTATTTTATACATGTACAATCCAGTTAGTAGACACAAGGGTTAACCGACTGTAGTGGGTGGCATCCTGGAGAGGAGGATCAAAAGACACAACAACAAATGATAAATCTTAATTCTACAATGTATGGTTTAAACCTAATTCAGATAAAGGTGACATTACTGACACAGAAAGCCCTGGCTATGCAGAGAATTTTGGGCAGCCTTAAAATAATCCTGTAATTTCTCAAAACTTATAACTCTTACTGGAACTTTTACGAACAATTTTCTGGAAGTTTTAGTAAAACAATTTACTTAAGTGTTTGTGGAGGTTATCACAACTGTTGGTCAAACACAAAGGCAACCACTACTGATCTTAATTTCAGTATTACCGCACAGGATATACAATGAACTGAAGGTTCATGGAATGCATAGCATCTCGGGCAAAACAATCTTCTTTCCTTGAAAGAACAGTAAAGTGTTTTGGAAGCAATTTAGGCCTCACCATGCCATGTAGAGACGAGGTAATCATCCACACCCATGTAGAGACGAGGTAATCATCCACACCCACGTAGAGACGAGGTAATCATCCACACCCATGTAGAGACGAGGTAATCATCCACACCCACGTAGAGATGAGGTAATCATCCACACCCACGTAGAGACGAGGTAATCATCCACACCCATGTAGAGATGAGGTAATCATCCACACCCATGTAGAGACGAGGTAATCATCCACACCCATGTAGAGACGAGGTAATCATCCACACCCACATAGACGAGGTAATCGTCCACACACATGTAGAGACGAGGTAATCATCCACACCCACGTAGAGATGAGGTAATCATCCACACCCACGTAGAGACGAGGTAATCATCCACACCCATGTAGAGACGAGGTAATCATCCACACCCACATAGACGAGGTAATCGTCCACACACATGTAGAGACAAGGTAATCATCCACACCCACGTAGAGACGAGGTAATCATCCACACCCATGTAGAGACGAGGTAATCATCCACACCCATGTAGAGACGAGGTAATCATCCACACCATGTAGAGACAAGGTAATCATCCACACACATGTAGAGACTAGATAATCATCCACACCCACGTAGAGACAAGGTAATCATCCACACCCACGTAGAGACGAGGTAATCATCCACACCCACGTAGAGACGAGGTAATCATCCACACCCACGTAGAGACGAGGTAATCATCCACACCCATGTAGAGATGAGGTAATCATCCACACCATGTAGAGACAAGGTAATTATCCACACACACATGTAGAGACTAGATAATCATCCACACCCACATAGACGAGGTAATCATCCACACCCACATAGACGAGGTAATCGTCCACACACATGTAGAGACGAGGTAATCATCCACACCCACATAGACGAGGTAATCATCCACACCCACATAGACGAGGTAATCGTCCACACACATGTAGAGACGAGGTAATCATCCACACCCACATAGACGAGGTAATCATCCACATCCACATAGACAAGGTAATCATCCACACCCACATAGATGAGGTAATCATCAACACATGTAGAGACGAGGTAATCATCCACAACCACATAGACAAGGTAATCATCCACACCATGTAGAGACAAGGTAATCATCCACACCAACGTAAGATGAGGTAATCATCAACACCCACATAGACGAGGTAATCATCCACACCCACATAGACAAGGTAATCATCCACACACATGTAGAGACGAGGTAATCATCCACACCCACGTAAGATGAGGTAATCATCCACACCCACATAGACGAGGTAATCATCCACACACATGTAGAGACGAGGTAATCATCCACACCCATGTAGAGACGAGGTAATCATCCACACACATGTAGAGACGAGGTAATCATCCACACCCACGTAGTGACGAGGTAATCATCCACACCCATGTAGAGACGAGGTAATCATCCACACCCATGTAGAGACGAGGTAATCATCCACACACACCCACCTATACCAACATCATCTACACGTAACTCAAACTATTTAAAATCTTATAATACAAAGAATTAGTAAGTAAATATGTATTTACTTACTGTTGAGAGCGGTTTGAACCACCACCCACCTGCCTGCCCACCTACCATTATTAACCACCACCACCCACCTGTTGCTTCATCACCCACTGTCTTCATAGTGGAGGACTCACACTGTATGAGTCATACACTCGTAGATACACAGTGTGAGTGTGTTAAAACAATTGTTATGTCTTAATATTTGTGGGTGTTGTGTGCGTCAGTATTTACCTGTGGTAGTTAGTGACTCCACCTGCAGGGGACACCACTGTCTGCGGTACACCCACCCTCCCACTGTCAGGGGTCCACCTACCCACCCTCCCACTGTCAGGGGTCCACCTACCCACCCTCCCACTGTCAGGGGTCCACCTACCCACCCTCCCACTGTCAGGGGTCCACCTACCCACCCTCCCACTGTCAGGGTCCACCTACCCACCCTCCCACTGTCAGGGTCCACCTACCCACCCTCCCACTGTCAGGGGTCCACCTACCCACCCTCCCACTGTCAGGGGTCCACCTACCCACCCTCCCACTGTCAGGGGTCCACTTACCCACCCCTCCCACTGTCAGGGTCCACCTACCCACCCTTCCACTGTCAGGGGTCCACCTACCCACCCTCCCACTGTCAGGGGTCCACCTACCCACCCTCCCACTGTCAGGGGTCCACCTACCCACCCTCCCACTGTCAGGGGTCCACCTACCCACCCTCCCACTGTCAAGGGTCCACCTACCCACCCTCCCACTGTCAGGGGCCCACCTACCCACCCTCCCACTGTCAGGGGTCCACCTACCCACCCTCCCACTGTCAGGGGTCCCACCTACCCACCTCCCACTGTCAAGGGTCCACCTACCACCCTCCCACTGTCAGGGGTCCACCTACCCACCCTCCCACTGTCAGGGGTCCACCTACCCACCCTCCCACTGTCAGGGGTCCACCTACCCACCCTCCCACTGTCAAGGGTCCACCTACCCACCCTCCCACTGTCAAGGGTCCACTTACCCACCCTCCCACTGTCAGGGGTCCACCTACCCACCCTTCCACTGTCAGGGGTCCACCTACCCACCCTCCCACTGTCAGGGGTCCACCTACCCACCCTCCCACTGTCAGGGGTCCACCTACCCACCCTCCCACTGTCAGGGGTCCACCTACCCACCCTCCCACTGTCAAGGGTCCACCTACCCACCCTCCCACTGTCAGGGGCCCACCTACCCACCCTCCCACTGTCAGGGGTCCACCTACCCACCCTCCCACTGTCAGGGGTCCACCTACCCACCCTCCCACTGTCAAGGGTCCACCTACCCACCCTCCCACTGTCAGGGGTCCACCTACCCACCCACCCACTGTCAGGGGTCCACCTACCCACCCTCCCACTGTCAGGGGTCCACCTACCCACCCTCCCACTGTCAGGGTCCACCTACCCACCCTCCCACTGTCAGGGGTCCACCTACCCACCCTCCCACTGTCAGGGGTCCACCTACCCACCCTCCCACTGTCAAGGGTCCACCTACCCACCCTCCCACTGTCAGGGGTCCACCTACCCACCCTCCCACTGTCAGGGGTCCACCTACCCACCCTCCCACTGTCAGGGGTCTACCAACCTACCCACCCACTGTCAGGGGTCCACCTACCCACCCTCCCACTGTCAGGGGTCCACCTACCCACCCACCCACTGTCAGGGGTCCACCTACCCACCCTCCCACTGTCAGGGGTCCACCAACCTACCCACCCACTGTCAGAGGTCCACCTACCCACCTTCCCACTGTCAGGGGTCCACCAACCTACCCACCCACTGTCAGAGGTCCACCTACTCACCCTCCCACTGTCAGGGGTCCACCTACCCACCCACCCACTGTCAGGGGTCCACCAACCTACCCACCCACTGTCAGGAGTCCACCTACCCACCCTCCCACTGTCAGGGGTCCACCTACCCACCCACTCACTGTCAGGGGTCCACCAACCTACCCACCCACGGTCAGGAGTCCACCTACCCACCCACCCACCCTCCCACTGTCAGGGGTCCCACCTACCCACCCTCCCACTGTCAGGGGTCCACCAACCTACCCACCCACTGTCAGAGGTCCACCTACCCACCTTCCCACTGTCAGGGGTCCACCAACCTACCCACCCACTGTCAGAGGTCCACCTACTCACCCTCCCACTGTCAGGGGTCCACCTACCCACCCACCCACTGTCAGGGGTCCACCAACCTACCCACCCACTGTCAGGAGTCCACCTACCCACCCTCCCACTGTCAGGGGTCCACCTACCCACCCACTCACTGTCAGGGGTCCACCAACCTACCCACCCACGGTCAGGAGTCCACCTACCCACCCACCCACCCTCCCACTGTCAGGGGTCCACCAACCTACCCACCCACTGTCAGGGGTCCACCTACCCACCCTCCCACTGTCAGGGGTCCACCTACCCACCCACCCACTGTCAGGGGTCCACCAACCTACCCACCCACGGTCAGGGGTCCACCTACCCACCCACCCACTGTCAGGGGTCCACCAACCTACCCACCCACTGTCAGGGGTCCACCTACCCACCCTCCCACTGTCAGGGGTCCACCAACCTACCCACCCACTGTCAGGGGTCCACCTACCCACCCACCCACTGTCAGGGGTCCACCTACCCACCCTCCCATTGTCAGGGGTCCACTAACCTACCCACCCACTGTCAGTGGTCTTCCTACCTACCCTCCCACTGTCAGGGGTCCACCAACCTACCCACCCACTGTCAGAGGTCCACCTACCCACCCACCCACTGTCAGGGGTCCACCTACCCACCCACCCACTGTCAGGGGTCCACCTACCCACCCACTGTCAGGGGTCCACCAACCCACCCATCCACTGTCAGGGGTCCACCTTCTCACCCACTATCTGTGATACACCCACCCACCTATCTGCAGTACAAATCCACTGTCAGGGATTCACCCACCCACTGTGCGATACATCCACCCACTGTCTGTAGTTCACCCATCCATCTCATCTAGTGTCTACTGTACACCCACCCACTGTTTGTGGTACACCTATCCAGGGTAAGGAGTCTACTTAGAGAGCATTCCGGGGATCAACGCCCCCGTGGCGGGTCCACGACCAGGCCTCCCTGTGGGTCAGGGCCTGACCAACCAGGTTGTTACTGCTGGCCGCATGTAGTCCAACATACGAACCACAGCCCGGCTGATCCGGCACCGACTTTAAGTATCTGTCCAGTTCCCACTTGAAGGCAGCCAGGGGTCTATTGGTAATTCCCCTTTATGCTTGGTGGGAGGCTGTTGAACAGTCTTGGGCCCCAGACACTTATTGTATTTTCTCTTAGTGCCAACAGACCCCTGGCAGTCTTCAAGCTGGCACTGGACAAGCACCTAAAGTCGGTTCCTGACCAGCCGGGCTGTGGCTCGTACGTTGGTTTGCGTGCAGCCAGCAGCAACAGCCTGGTTGATCAGGCTCTGATCCACCAGGAGGCCTGGTCACAGACCGGGCCGCGGGGGCGTTGACCCCCGGAACTCTCTCCAGGTAAACTCCAGGTAAACCAATGGCGCCCCTACTTTTCATGGGGGTATTTTGCATCGCCTGCCCAATCTTTTACTTTCGTAGGGAGT